GAGTTACCAGATCAGGTAGGAAGGTGTCTACCGATCTCACCCATCTTTCCAACAGCAGCGGGTGGCTCAGTGTGCTAATCCTGTATGCCTGAAATCAGAGGGCTGCCGGTTTGAACCCAGCTTCGGTGGGTATTTCAGCTATGTAGCCCGATGTGCACAGTGTACTCTCCGACGTCGAGTGACCTGTTACGCCTGCACTAAAAGCATCTCCATCCTAATTTCTGCCTACTACTTAGACCATCTCACCAAAACCAGTCCTCCTCTGTCCTACATCTCCTTCCCGACCACCTATCCTCTACCTGTCCTATCATCCTAAGCTTTGGACCCTTCCATAACTGCCTGCAGTTTCTAGTTGATATTGGGCTTTTCCGGTTTACTTATTACATCACAGATGTAGTCTAGCACTTCTACACTGAATGAACACCGGCTGAAGTGGCCAACATGGACAGTTGATTCCGGTTAGAGAATCAAGGGACTGGAGATCTTCTTATCTTTTACTGAACTTTAATTAGCTTTCAAAGTAATTAAGTTTGAAAGATTAATTATTTGTAGGTTCGGTGGGAGATGCTCTACGACTGAAGGTAAGTTGCTTGCCCATTGCCGGATTTCAAAATGTCCCTCTGCCAAAAGCTGTCTCAAACCAACCACCACAGCCTTGGCTCCAACGGGATCCAATGTGCTATGGAGGCAGTCATCAACATAGAATGCCTGTGTGACGACTTTGGCTAATCCTGTGATATTGGCCTTATGATCCTGGACATGTCGTTGGAGGGCATAGATAGCACAGTACGGGCTGTACAGGTTGCAGCTCTCTGAGGCATGACTACGGCCACAACTCCAGCATTGTTTACCTTCCTTTATCCATGTGACAATCTGGCTAGCACTAAGCTTCTTGAAGTTAAAGACAACAAGGTGAACGTTCCTGAGTGGCCGAGTCAAAGCCCAGACCTCAGTCCTATAGAGAGTTTGTGGCTGGACTTCAAAAAGGCTGTTTGCGGCTGATCCCCATTCAACCTGACAAAGAAGAATTGAGTAAAACTCCAGTGTCCCGATGTGCAAGCCTGATTGTCACCTATCCACAAAGACTCAGTGCTGTGATCGTGGGCAAAGGTGCTTCTACTAACTACTGACTTAAAGGGGTGAATTCTTATGCAATCACTTATTTTTAGACCCTAGGAGCATGTGGGTGTGGATTGGAAAAGGTGACCACGGTAAGAGGCCTCCGAATCAACAACAACAACAACAAATTTATTTTTGTATAGCGCATTATCACAACATTACATTGTCCCAAAGCGCTTTACAGCATCCCCACCCAAAGCCCACAGTGAGTAAGCCATAGGCGACAGTAATCCACCAGGGGAGAATGAAGTGCGGAGGGAACACCCCACGGCAGCCTTGCACTGCCATGGCGGATCAGACAAGAGGGATCAAAGACCAGGGAGAAAACCACAGTGCAGTTGGTCCCACCGTTGCTGGGGAAAGCCAGGTAGAGGTGGACGAAGGCCCAGAGGAAGAGGAAGGCCAGCACTGCGGACACCAGGAAGACCCACGTAACCCCCCCGGAAAGGCAAAGCCAAGAGGCACTGAGGAGAAGGCTCCATCCAGAAGGAGCAAGATCATGTGCCCAAAATCCAGCGAGTCGGCAGTATGGCAGAAATTAGACTTGGACCTCAGCCAGGTTCTACAGTCCCTGCAGGGTAGTGTGGAGTCCAGGCTCAACCAGTTCGGAGACATTCTCTACCATGAATCTCTGATCTCATGTACGTGATGACGGGCTCTTTACAGTATGAGAAGGTTTCCTAATATTTGATCTTTTAAAAAATCACAAAGTGTAGCAAGATATTGAAGGGTGACCCCTGTATCTTGATACGTAACCTGTTGCTAGACTCTTGCCGATACACAGCCCTATGGTCCATGCAGAGGAGAAGAGGAACATCTCACAAACATATGTGTTGTGCTCATGCTTGCACTAACGAAAACCAAAAGGATCGAGAGCAGGCAGGGGGACAGAACTTCCAACATCCAGTAACAGACACCTAAATGACTGACTGAAGAACCAACCAGGGCTGGAACTTAAATACAGCTAGAAAACTGCAGCAAAAAAGGAACTGGTGCAAGATATAATCAATTATCCAATCAACTGAGGCACAAGAACAACAAGAAACCTGTGTGAACAGTAAAACTAAACACAAAACTAAGACCTCACTCCACACCATGGAGAGTACCCAGCTGGAGATCACTGTCTTGACACGAGAGACTCATGCCAGCATCATGACTCCTTCCTGTATAGGCTAGACCCTACCCAGGGATCCTTCTGCCTCAAGATCAGGAGAGGCGTTTGGCTCCAAGGCATGGAAGTCACAGATGTGGTAATGACCATGGGGGTGGAAAAGT